GCGCGGGGAGGAGAGCCTGCCCGCGCGCGGGACCCGGCGCCGCTTCGTGTAGCTGGGCGTCTCTCGGAAAGGCACTGCAAAGGAAGCAGAGGGCCGCGTTAGCCACCGGTGCGCGGCGTGCTGGCCAGCCCCAATGGGAAGGAAAAGGGGCCAGAAAGCAGCAAAGTGGGAAAGTGCGTGGGGCAGGGAAGGGAGAGCAAAGGTGGCCTGCAGAGCACGGGAGGACGCCGGGATGGATGAAGAGGCAACTCTGTCAAGGAGCATAAGATGCTCTGGAGGGCACGTGGGCCAGGGAAGAGCACGGCTGGGGCCACCACCACCCCAGCAAGGCAGCGCCCGAGGGGACGCGCAGACACAGGTGCCAGGCGCAGAGCAGCGCGTCCAGGGACCTCGGTGGCGCTGGCTGTGGCAGGAGGTGGCAGCGGCTGCGCAGGGACAGCAGGAGCACCAAGGGGAGGGTGTGCGGAGCTGCCCCAGGGATGCCCCCGCTGACCCGTCCAGCTGGGCATCCCTGACACCGCGGCGGTGACACGGTCACCAGCGCGGCCCTGCCTCCGCTCGCTCCTCGTTTCAAGGTATGGTGGGGCTAAATCTGTGGCTTTAGGCACGTGCCAAGGGGCAGCCTCGGAAACGCAATGCACAGAGCAAAAGAGCAGCCGCTCCCCGCCCTGCCTGGCCCTCTGTACAAGCCTTAGAAGTGCCCAGGAGACACGGACCTCACCAAGCCATCCCAGGATGGAAATTCCTGCGCGGAGCAGGACGCGAGCAAAGCCCGAGCACAGTCACCTCGCGGGGCTCGGCAGGACCCTGCGTGGTGCTGGGCCAGCTCTCCAGCTGTGCCACACGATCACGCTCGCAGTGCTTTCCAGAGGCGTATTTTAGGTTCAAAGTACAAGAATCTCAGACTCCTGTAAATCTTCTTGTCACCATGGCAACTCAATGCATTCGTTCTCCAGTAACTTTTAACCGTGCGGTGCTGGAATTTCTCCCTGCAGCGACTCAGCCAGGCTCCCCGGCCGGGCTCCCCGCTGCCCACCTGCCCCGTGCGCTCCTCCTGCAAGCCGCCCGAACCCGGGAAATCACCCGGAGCAGCAACCCAGAGGCTGCAGGGAGCAGCAGGACCGGGCACGGGGTCGCGCGCTGCAGACCCGGCGCGTGGCAGTTTGCAGCACTGCAGCGTGCAGGACCTGAGTCACCACCAGGCCCATTAGTGCCCTGCACCTGCTGGGGAGCCAAAGCCAGGCCAATTACTGCCCTTTTTCTAATTTCTAAGGCAACCCCGCATCTGTTTGGCTGACGAGGATTGCCCCTGAGGTCATGCACCATCCACATACATGCTGACCTCCGCAAGATACTTAGTTTTGTACTACACCGCTTCTCATAGAAAGCCATTCAAAACAGATCAGAAAAGGAGATATCAAATGACTGCAGGTCTTAGTGACCAACAGGTTTAAAGATTACCAGAAATTGGAAGAAAGCACTGAAAACACAAGGAAGTTTCTCACAAGTCTCAATGATCTGTTTTTAAACTAAGACTATTCACTAAAGTTACGGATGGCTCCTGAAGAAGAATTGCTCCTAGTAAAAGAGGTGAGTCGTGCTGGAAGCAAAGCGGTCCGGGCCCGAGCTCCCCTCCAGCCGGTAGCCAGGGCTCGCCGTGCTCAAGGGGCCCCTCCGCAGCACCGGTCACCAAGCCAAAGCTTGGAGGGCGTCCGCAGGGCTGTGACCACAACCACAGAGAGCCTGTGGCCACAGCCCGGACACGGCCTGAGCCCGGGACATAGGAGCCGGCAAACACCGAAGGGCCAGAGACGGAGCCTCAACGGTGCTCTGCCCATGAGCAACCTTATGACTCCAGAAGGAGAGACGTTTTAGCACCTGATTGCAATTTTGACCAGCTGGGAATATTCAGCAAGGAAATACTCAAGGTCTAGAAAAATCTGCTGGGCTTGTTCTTCCCTCCAGCACTGGCAGATGCCAGATATGGCACTTGTCCCTCTCTGGGCCTCTTCTGGTCTTGACCAGACTGGCCACCACTGGTCTTGGCACTAAACCAAGAAGACACAAACACAAGTACAGTGCTGAGCAAAACAGGAATTTAGCATTTTGAACTGATCACACACAAACTTACTGTACAATAATCCTGCTGGCCAGATACTTTCAACAACCTGATTTCAACTGAGCTGGGCCTGGCAGGACTGGGCTAGAGCTATGTGATGGGCATAGTCTTCCAAGAAAGAATTCCTCAAACACTTTGGGGATAATTTGGAACAACCTGGAGAACCACATTAGCATTAAAGACAAGAAAAAAAAAGCAAGAGCAAATGAGAAGGTATCCTGGTCGCATAGTAGTCTGTAAAGCCAAAGTTTCCTGAGTATTAAACTCCAGGAGCCCACTGAGAAATTAGTATTTCAGTTGCAAAGACAGACTCACAAAAGACTTCCACTATCTGTACGAATTTAATTTGGCCCCCAGTGCACAACAGAAGCTGAGGCTAAACCAGCCCGTTTCTTTTGCTGAAATGGGATTTAGGGGCAAGAGAGTCACACGGGCGCAGAGGATGAGTCACGCAGCCCGCTCTGCCGCGCTCCTACAGGCCCAGGCTTCCAGCTGGTGTGTTGAGCGCGGGGAGCTCCCCAGCGCCCAGGTACCAAACGCGCCGACGCACGCGGAGCGAAGCAGCCGGCGCCCAGGAGCCGAGCGCTGCCTCGGAACGGCGAGAGGAGTCAGGAAACCACCAAGGAACCTCAGTTCAAAGACAAAAGCACCCCTGCCAGCCCTGACGCACGCTCTGGAGCACCCAGAACACCTGTGGAGCCTGCACCAGCCTGGAGCCCCGGGATGGGCACAGGAGGCCAGCACAGGGGCCAGCCTGCACAGGCAGGGGGACAGCTGGGCCAAGACTGGACACTCTACGCAGAAGACAGAGATCTAAAAATGACAGTAAGTGCCCTGGAAAGCCTGGCTTCAAATGAGAGCACTGACACAGCAAACATCCCGGTTCTCCACAGGAGAAGGACAGCTACGGCTGGCATGAGTGATACAAGACTTCCCTCCCCAGGTGGCCCAGAGCTCATCCAAAGCCTTCATCTAAGCACAGCCTAGATGAACAGCCCGTCTGGAAGCTGTGTCCCTTGGATGCAGCACAAGCCTGGTCTGCTCTCAAGACAGAACCTAGATACAGCCAGAGGGATGCAAGCACGTTCTCAGCTGGGACCTGTGACGGGATGGAGACAGCGAGGGACACTGGCTGCTGCAAGAGCAGATTCTGTTTGCCATGGCCAGAAGGAAGAGACATCTACCTGCCTGATGCTGGAGGTTGGCTGGTCAGGTCTGCAACAGGTACCACGAAGTGACTAAGGAGCTAGTGGAAACAGCCTGCTGTGGAAGGGCCCTATGGGCACATCGGTGTGCATGATACAGTCCAGCAGGGAGACCCAGGGAGACCTGCATGAGCCAGCCACGTCCCCACAACAGGCCACCACACCAGTGCAGGTCCTTGAGCTGGGCAGCTATCCTAGACCCACCCAACGCCTTGGACACCAGGACCCAGGCGCTCCATAGGTGCCTGCGAGAGGGCTGCTATCCTGCCACCATCTTCTCTGGAGATCTTCAAACCCGCTTGGACGCAGTCCTGTGCCACGTGCTCTAGGTGACCCTGCGTGTGCAGGGGGGTTGGACTAGATGACGTCTAAAGGTCCCTTCCAACCTTAAGCATTCTGTGATTCTATGATCGACAGCTGCAACTGAGGGCCACCATGGCAAGTATAGCAGCATGGCCTCATTCGAGTAAAAAAATAGGTCACCGGCAGCCTCATGGAGCTAAGCCCTCCTATGCCTCACTGTTCAAACACACATGGAGCAAGGTGACCTTGTCTCGCTCACCATGGGTGCCTGGTGCAGGTGCTCCCTGGCCACGGGCCATAGGAGATGTCTGCACCTGGACAGGGAGGGAGCAAGGTAGGAACCAGCGCTGAAAGAGAGCTCCAACGGATGGACATAGCTCGAAGGTGGCCCACGCACCCGTGTCCTCAGAGCACTCGTGGAAGGGAGAAGAGCAGTTTGGTTGAAACGAGGCGGGTTTCCCCTCCCCTAGCAGATGAGCACAGCTGCTTTGGGTGCTCTGGGAAGGATTAACCATGCTGAGGAGGGCAGGATGGGCCTGGACAGCACGGAGGGTCTGCAGTGCTCATGGTGGCCAGGGTACCTGGTGGCCCTATGAGGACGGTCAGTCAAAACCACCATTGGGTCAGGCTGCTGCAGGTGGAAGCTCCTGATGAGGGTCTCCTCTCCCCAGCCCCAAACACTGTGCGCCCCAAGGCGGGGCAGAGAGCGAGAGCAATAATGAGGAAACTCTGTTCCGGGTGTGCAACAGCTCCGAGCGCTTCCTCCACCTTCCTCGGGAGTTTAATCAAAGTGTGTTTACCGGCACTCTCACAGCGAAACGCAGCCGGCCGTTTCCATGGCAGTGCTGCTCCGAGCACCGCGCCGCCGCGCGCCCGGCCCAGGGCCTCCCACCGCACGGCTCTGCGGAGCGGACGCGGCTCCCGGGGCTTCCACACGGAGCGGCGGCACCGGAGCGCTGCGA